GATAATTTCCAAAACATCGCGAGAGCCAGGATACTAAAATGGAAACAGCCAACTTCCAGAGACCTCATGAAACCTCATTGCCGCTTTCAGTGTGGTAGGTCAAGTTATGGAACATATCCCAATTCGTTCAACCGGTTGGCAACCTATATTGTTGAATTTTAATGGCTTCTTCCACGCCAACACGTAGTTATTGGAATTATGCCGGTGGTTCCGAGCGTTAGCGATTCAATGTACACATTCTACAGACTACTGATATATTCTGACGGCCTTATAGTGCGTACTTGCTTAGTATATGAACCATGGTCATTGTGCGATGGCAAGAACCACACATATACGAGATAGGGGTTGATCGTCCATCAGCGAGAAATATAAGGATCATTGGTGATGTCAACCTGAAAGTAAATCAAAGACACTTACCCATGGTTGAATAGTGAGCAGAAGATATAAAACAATCTCTTTGCTTGTATGTGACGAAGACGTATTCATGTTGAACCCCAAATTAGGATTATCACTAAACGGAATTGAATTTTGGATAAATCATTACCATGAAGCTTTATATCCTGGCTCTATGCGTCTCAGCTGCTGCTGCCATTGCAGTTGATTATGGATATAATCATGAAGCCCCAGTCGTGATGCCTTTCACACCGTCCTGCAGTCAGGGGCATGGTTATTGTGGCTGGTACCTCAAAAGACTAGGTAAGCCCAACACAGGCAGTATAACAACAAGGTATCTGCCGCTAACTTGAACTAAAGGCTTTTCGGGTACTGATGATCGCACACTCTACTATTGCGATAACATTAACTACCCAGACAGAATCAAACAGTGTTGGGGTCATTGTGGTGGTGACCTAGCTCATTGCGTTCCATAAAAGTGAGACGGCAAACTGCGTCTACAAACTAGTTTCTTGATTTATTTATTGCTTCAGACCTTTTTACCCATCACTTTCACCAGTTCCTCATGGGGTAATCGCTTTACACTTTTGAACAATGAACCGGGATCTGCTTTTTGTGTGGCTGATTATAAGAAGGTATATTTATGATTTACCTGGAATATAGTCTGCCTCGGTGTAGGTTTTGTCCTCCTATTAGGTTTTCCTACACTGTTATGCGAATGCAGAGGCAGGAACCAGTAAATGGGAAATAACTCTATTATTTTATTTTCTAAAGTCTTTCAACGTAGAGCTCCAAATGCCGAGGAGAGTTGAGGTTATCTGCCATCCCTGGAGGGCATCATTGATGGTATTGACCAGCGGGCCCGCGAGAAGAAACAGATCATATATAGATGAGAACAGTTTCTGCAGTACTCCACGTCATTGATGACTAGAGGTGGCTATGCTCTCTTGGTTCTTGGTTTGACCTGAAAACATCCGATAGTCTTAGATAATCAATATTTATATACATGTTAAAGTGTGTCCCTCTTGGATGTAATTCAGCAAGTTTGCTAAATTTACGTAAAGAACAGAAGTTTGTACAGTAGTTTCCAGGTGAATGATATCAAGTGCTTGAACCTGTCCGCAACACTCTTTTACCACAACAGAGTAGATCTACCTTAGCTGAATGTCGAGCTATCGATAGACAAGTTTTGTATACTATCTAGAATCTACTTCATGCCTTCATGAATAGGTATTCCATCACCGAACGCTGATGTTTCCCACATCAGTTGCTAGGGGATCCATGGTAAAGAGGAAAGACAATAAATCACTTCTCCATACAGCTCATTATGACATTGTGCAGAAATTATAATACTCAACTCCCCCGATGTTTATCCAATATACACATGGTCTCGTCTGGTCCAGCCAAAATCGACGAGGATGGCTTCTTTGCCAAAACTTTCGCACGTGGGACCGTCATCCTGTACTGCCTCACACTGCGGCGGCAGCGGAGATCTACCCCAGACACGGTGCGGGCTGAAACCTACGATATCCTCCAGTCCAGCTCCAATGATAATCCCTCTGACGTGATGATTGTACTCGCTCTATCGGATGCTTGACCTGGGGTCCGGGAAAAGAGACTCATTGGCGGCATCGATCATCCTGCATCCATTATGGAAGAATAGGATGGCGAATTAAGCGGAGAGTCGGTGCTCTAGGGCGCGGAGTGTAGTCGCTGGTTGGGTGACCTTTACGCTGATGGTGAGATGGTGAACCATATCTGTTTTGGCCTCAGAGGTTGGAAAGGAGTATTATCTGCCTGCTCGGTATACCTCTAAGGCATAACTCCCATCAGCAACCGACTGTCCGTCCACCGTTTCCAGCAGGATCTGCTTGTCTATTTGCTGATACCCTTTATATAGTGATTCGCGGTGGAGCAACAGGGTGAACGCTGGTTTTTTTTGGTGTCTCGAACAGGCCATGAGCAGTGCCGATACTTCCTAACCAAAAGACATGTGTCCTTGGCTTGGGGGATAATCTCAGAGAAGGTATATGACAATTCTGCTTGTTTTTGGAGAGTGTCAACGGGTTGGGCCAGATTCTGCATAAGATACGTTATCTCAGTACTCGTCAATCGAGTCTGCCTAAATCACTTAGTATTGAACAAATAGATCCTTGTTCTCTACGCAGTTCAACAGTTCGTCTCTGATCCTACCTTCCCTCTCCTCCTCTTTTTGTTCTCTTTTCTTTTCCTGCCGTCGCCACTGTCTTTCCACTGGCCTTTCGGGTATCTGCGCCCTACGCCTTGCGCCTTGAGAAGAGTCTTCAGAGCAACATCGGATTTCTAGCCAGACCGACCCGCAAGAGTTGCATCTTAGTTAAGATGATCCATTTATACTTTCAAGACGAGAAGTTTCGATGACCATCGAGAAGATGGAAATCACGCCCTATCGCCCTGGCTTTACACACATGTCTTACACCCACGCCCTTCTTAACTTGTGCTGCGTCTCGCTCCGGAGCTTCGACCCGGACGAACTCTTGAAACTTACCCGCCAGCCCTGTGAGGTGTTGCTGCCTGAGGCGGCAAGCTGAGTCATCCGCCGTTACAGCTAACTATAGAGTTGTAAGTGGTAGACGATTCCAATAGGAATCTGAAACTGGATCCTTCCTATCTATTTTATGGATTTCTGAAGCCAGTTGGAGTGTGACACTCACACTTATATACTATGTTTCATTGATTGACAGTCTTCGGGTGATCCGGGTCCAGGGAGAACTGTGAGAACATACGCATCTGCTGCCCAATTATTATAGCATCAATACCAAACGTCATATTGGAAACCTTCAAGAAACCTCAAAGCTTCAACCAGGCTATGTAGTAAGGTCTGCATACGACTGTCTGACGTGAATAAATATCAGTTTATATGGAACAAACACGTCGAGAACCTTTTGGAACAACAGAAGCCAAGTGAATAATGTGCGACTCCTGTACTAATGGTGAGACTTCTCTCAAGGACGGATGTAGTTAGATCAAGGTTGATAGAACCAACGGAGCGTCCCGAAATATATCCTATCCTACGTTACATTTCCAGTCCGTCCATATGTCTCTGACGCGTTTCATTTCATTAAAAGAAATGTGGGCTTTTGACATGTTAGACATATGTCATATATGTCAAATATCCACGGAACGGCCCGTTCAGCCAGCCATAATACTTGAATTTTTCTCATAGCCCAGTACACGGTAATAGAAATTAGGTGTAAGCTTTACCAGGGTTACATCTGGAGGCTATAGTGTATGACGACATTTTGAGCATCAAAAGTTTTATAGGTCTCGCCCTACCCAGGCGAATAGTTATTTTTATAATTGGATTTTAATTCAAGGACTGGCGTGAGAGAAGCTCCCCATCAGCCCTCTAGCACTATGGAATACCCAGGCTCAGATACAACCAAAGATATATTATGAAGTATTGATAAGACTATAGGAGTCATTCAGCTAATATACCTCTACTATTCTCAGAGCTAGAACATGCACAGTGTGATATCATCCTTGCTTCTTTAGTATGACAGTTAGCCTGTCCATTATGTAAAAGAACCACCCTGGAGCTAGATAAAGCCGTGTCTGCGTACGCCCATGCCGCCATACAAACTGTGGTTGACCAGTCACTACCCTCACATACTGTAAACTGTGTTAAGTCTAGGCCTGTGTGTAGGCACTTCCCCACACACTGTATCCCTGGCTGTTATTATATAAAAGATCTAATACTGATCTGCCCTAGGTAGGTTCTTATTATATCCGTAAGTGTGATAGTGTTATACCTTGGGTATATTATTATATGATTTAGGTGTGGCTATTATCGGTTCTTAGGCTCGAAAGGGTAAATTATATAGTGATCTAACATGTTTCAATATTCTTATTCAGGAACCTTCAAACAGCTTTTTAAATTTTGTATTTTGCAAATTTGCCAATGCAACATGGGTCAACAATTTAAGTTTTATTGAACTAGAAATTCAGCCAAAAACAAGGGGAAAATAGGACTCCGTAGCTCATTGTTGAAATGGCCTTTTGTTGACTTGAGTATAATATCGTATCAGCTCGTGTAGTTTACTAAGACTGAAATGGTCGTGTGGACACCTTTTGGGTCGAGTAGCGGCGAAGCTGGCACCTTATTCCTTATTTACCGTTCTTGATGTAATTTACGGTAAAGTCCTATCCCTAGAATCGGCTCACCCACTGAGGTAGGGCCGCAGATACTGTTCGGATAGAATCAGTTCTGTTTCTCATTCTTTTGACATCAGATGTTAATGAACCTATATATATTGTTCTGCAATTGAGCAAAGCAGAAAACTGGCCTTTGCATTTGTATAACAGTATGGGAAAAACCTAGGCACCTAGGGAAAACCCCATACCAAGACTGAAAAGACTGAACAAAATCGCAACTAAATTAATAGGTTACTTTGCAGTCTGCTGGCATCCCTGTCGGGTTTGACTGACAGACATTTATATCAAAAATTAATCTCCTGGGAAATTGTCCCTGGCATTGCCGTAATTGCTCTCTGAAACGTGAGAACGTTTCCAGAGTTATCCAAAGAACTTATGCCCATAGACTCAACAAAGGTCTCTACCAGGCTGCCCTAGGACTTCCTCGGAGCCTTTCCTCCTTTGTCACCGCTGCTTCCCCACCACATGGCTCCCCCCAGCTGGTGTTGAAGTATGTATTCTGCTTTTATTTCTCCCATTTCCTGGGTATCGTATGAGATTATCATGCGATCGGTGGGGTTAAACCTCCATGACGCTCCGGCTTGTTTATCCAGGTGCTCTGAAGCTCCAGTGAATGGGAGGTCTTTATAGTCCCAAATTCCTTGTTCCCAATGGCCTTGTCCTATGCCCTCAAATGGATGCCCAGGGCTATCAGTGTTAGTGAAGCCGCGCCCGTACAAGGGCATACCCAGGATTATCTTGGGTAGTGGGACTTTGCTTTTGTTGATGTAATAATCCAATGCTTCACTTATACTGTATGGAGTATTTTTCGGCGTGCTAGTAGGCTCTTCCAAATTCGCCCAGTGGCCAGCAGCCGTACTCCAGGCTCCGGAATAATCATAGGCCATCAGATTGTAGAAATCCAAATGAGGAGTCAGATGGGAAAACTTGAACTTGGTATAATTTTCGCGGCCTGTATCGTGAAAATCAATGAGACTTTCCAAAACCATTGAATGAATTTACTATTGGCTTCTTAGAAAGGGTCGTACCAGCTGGACCAGCAATAGTCAGGAATCCCCGATTTTGGCCAGCTGCTGCGGCTGCCATATCAAGTGTCTATACTATGTTGGCTTCACTGGATAGCTTGCATATACGTGTATAAAACCTATTTCACAAACTTTTTAAGTAGTAAAGAAAGGTTGTTTGCCTCGTCGTCGTCTAAGTTTCCGTCAAACTTTCTGGTTTATTCATTCTGATTCAGTGGGTTTTATGGTTACTTTTAGGATACTCCCAGTCCACATCCAACCCTTAGATTCGTTAGCAATGACGGGGTTCCATTTTTATTTTTTTATTTTTTATTTATTGAATTTCTTTTTCTGAAAACTGCTGGTGAGTACTTGCCATCGAAACGCCAGTCTAAGATTAGCTGTGTAGCTGTTTCTGCGAACTTGGTTCGCCCGGGATCGGAGCTTGCAGGCTTAACAAAATTAGGGGAGTAAGTCCAGGAGCTTCAACTTTCTGTTATGTTTCTTAAGCAATCCTAATTGCTTGACACAGCCATAAATATTAGTGCCGGGTTCATCCCATTGGTCTCCAGGGTAGTGTTTATCAATATCCGCCCAATTATCAGTCCGGAAGCTGGATCGTATCAGTATTATTCGGGTGTTAAAAGAGAAGGAAACTGGTCCGTTGATTTACACTTCGCCATTCTCGCGAATATTAGCGAACGTATACAAAATGTGAGTCAGCTTGTCATTGGGCAGGTCTGACAGATTATTTCCACGACCGTAAATTGCCTTTATTATTAGCTATTATGTCAAATTGGGAATTCCTCAACACATTTACCCGCGACTGCTTGGAAGAGAACTTGTTTATGGAATTGCCTAGTACTTGATTCACCGTTCCGGCAAGCAAAAGCTGTCACCGTTGAAAAAGAGAAAGAAAAAGGATTTGTGTAGACAAGCTAATCAAATGAGGGAGAAACCATACCCAATTGACAAAGTAATTCAGAGTTTTGATTCCTGACATGATTATACTTTGCGAGAAATTGGGGTGACTAGTTAGTATCAATTGGGAGATAGAATATACAAGCAAATAGTTACCAGAATAACAAATGTGGTCATGAAACAGCAAATTTAACGTCAGACATGCTTCATCCTATTAGTATTACTCAGTGTTCTAGAATATGGGTGTGAAAAACTTCATAATGATAAATGCTATTCTTACATGTTATACTATTTCCGGCGGTCTCATGCGTAACATAGCTAAAGTTTTAACAAAATATACCTGATCCGGTGAGCTGTGTACATCTAGGCTCTACTATCAATAAAGAGTTATACGCCTAGGGGCTCATGACGTGGTAACATAATTTACAGTATCTAAAGAGTTATGGGTATCTACTTACGACGTCATATGCTGTACATAAGTTTGACGAAACGGTTGACTTTATTTCGACTTCTGATGAGAACAGGACCTTACTGAACTCTAATAACTACTTCAGCGAACAGGTGAGCCATAGTGTGACCTTGAAATGGCGGAATCGTAATGTAACATGTAACCTGCCATGGTTTCCGTTCAATAATATCATCTGGACGTGCTCCATTTAGGGTAAATATCATCCTTATATAATGTATGAAATAAATATCAGCTGTATTGATACCTCACCATATACCATCTGATCTGCTGTCCAAGTTGCGTACATCAGTTCTAAAGTATTCACCATACGTTCTGCCTTTCCTTATTTCACACAGCCTTCCTTATCATAGCCCTTTTATTGACTTTTCGAATATCAGCTGCCATAGAACTTTACCGCTAGATTTGATTCTCGCGAGGGGCATGATGAAGGCGACACTGGCACTATTGATTGCCGTCCTAGGTGTTAGCCATACTGGCCTAGGCCACTGTATGAAAACTCAACTCCACCCCGCCCTGCAACTATTTTCTGACATTCCAATCGGTAGACGTCTGGAGCGCCCTGATTCTGGATGGGGAGAGAACCGCTGACTACAAATATGTTCGGTACTAGGGATAATTCGCTTTGTTTTGGTGTCCTTAATGTCTCTAATGGTGACTGCAGAAAAGATCAAAGGCCCCCGGGTGACGAGAACGTACCTGTTACTGATATAGAATCGTCGGACATTCGCTGCAATTATGGTGGCACGTCCACAGGAACTTCTGTTGATATCGCTAACGTCACAGCTGGATCAACGGTATGGTAGTTAATTTCCTATTCCAGTATTAGCAGTAGCTCCCACATCAACGACTTCAATAATCAGGTTTATATTGCTCACTCTTACACTATTCCTAGATCGTTTCACCCTCAGGGAGCATGAAAACATCTACCATCCTGGGCCTATTATGGTTTATATGTCTAAGGCTGACGGAAACGTTAAGTCCTACGATGGAAGTAGAGACTGGTTCAAGATTGCTGAGCTTGGAGGTGAACCGGAGTGTCCAGAAGCTAACGTGGCAGGCCTTACGAGTCAATTCTTATTTGACCCCTATCTAAGAATCACTAAGCGCCACTCCCACGCGATCAAATGGCCTGCCCTAGGAAAGACCGAATTCCATTTTACAATCCCTTCTAAGACGCGTGGGTACTTATGACTTGACCGTTACTTAGTAACTGACGTCAGCTGCACACTGCACAGCATCCGGTCAATATCTACTCCGTATTGAACAAGTCGGCCTGCACAGGGCTCAAGAAATACGTGGAGCCGAATTTTTTATTTCTTGTGCCCACATCAACGTTATAGAAGGCGGCAGTGGCCATCCCATGCCAATGGTAGAATTCGCTGGGGCTTACGACTGGACAGATCCAGGCCTTTTAGTGAACATCTACGATACCTCGTGCTACGCTCTCCCAGGGCCGCCCGTCTGGGAAGGAAATAAGGCCTCAATCGACTAAATAGACGCCGCTCGGTAGTCGTCCGGCATTCGTTGTGACATTCATCCTTTGTTAGCCCTATCTTGTGAAGTTCTTTCCGTTAAAAGTGCCTGATCTGTATGGGAAATTCTATGGTGATCAAACCGACCCGCGGTATTATCTTGGTATTTCGAAGCGACTCTACAGTAGTGAGCTTCTGCTGGCCTTGTGACAATGCTTTTATGATTTATATATAACTCGGAGAAAAGACTACGTACCTTTGAAGCTGAATCCTTCGGTATTTGAACTTGCTGATCTTCAATGCTTATGGTAGAGTATAGATCCAAAAACGGAATTCGCTGGTGAATTCAGCCCATGACCACACCCAAACATGAGAACTGAAGATGTAATAGGATCCTTTCGGATGAGCGGGAGTTGACAAAAATTGCAATGATTTTAATTTTTTTTATATCCAGTAAAAGATCATTCTTTCCAAGTACATACTGGCTACCTGTCGGAAATTGGCCGATACAGGGAATGAATATGTCATGGAAGGATGAACTATTCTCCTGGGCTCTGATATTGCATCTTCTGCGTATCAGGCGCTTAGAGTTCTCAATCTGAATATACCGTTACATTCGAAACGGAGACCACAAAGTTCAACTTGTTATTTTGAATTTTGTGTTTTCCTGATTCGGAGTATCATCGTTTGGTATCAGCCTTCTATGTAATTCATCACTGAAAATGGCAAATCTTGTATTAGCAAACGTGTCAGTAGACACCGTCTATTGCTGCTGGGCCTTGTACACCATGAATGACTATATATTTAGTAGAGCCGTTTTCAGTTTGGCGCAGAATGCTTGACAATCAGTGAAATGTCGAGAACTTATAACCGTGTGGAAATTGCTGTTTTCTCCACCACGCTTCAAAGTACCAGCAACTGATATCACTGCAAGAATGTCTTCACTCTAACATAGTAAACAGGCCCTACCGGTTTCCGATATTAAATGCGAGGACTTAAGGCACCCCAAGTCATATTGCAGCGTTGAATTAGACAGATTATAGATAACCTCAACTTTAATTTTGGCATACTCTCCTGTTTTTATAAGAAAGGTTTGCTGCTCAGATCAGAACTATCCTGGGATCAGACTTGAGCAAGGACCAACGGATTTTGAATAATGTTATGTAGGCAGTAATGAGACAGATATATATAATGGAAGAATTCGAATTCTATCGTGGCCAGGGCACGTTCTCCCGAGAGAAGGATACTTGAAAATTCAGAATATTTAAAGGGCAGTATGGGGAGTGGTTTGACAATAATGGAGGTTGCCTTGTAAATGCAACGAACAACGTCGAGCCACGGAAAACTTGGGACGGATAGAAGAATGACATGGCCAAGATTCAATACGACTAACCCGCTCATACATCGACTAACAATTAATTATAGCTAGGAGCCGTCTGGGCATTTGTATATATTTACGATTTTTGGAGAATCTTTATATTCACGGTGCATATCTCTGTGGCATAAGAATATGAGTTGTACGCGGATTCTGTGGAGAAGACTGAGATATCAGATAGTCGCTTACAGTTTCTGGTTCCGTACAGATATGCCGTGGCAGGGCTTGCTGGAAGGTTCTATAAAAGAGGCCTAGCAGATTTCAGATTACTGCTCTAAACACTCTTAAGCATAGGATTTATAATCGGTTGAGATATAGAGTTTTAAAGATTGGGTTCAGTTTCTAGTTTAAACCGGTATAGGTAAGGTGCCTTAGGACTAAGTAGCACTTTACCAAACTAGGCATAGTAGCGGGCTTTCGGGTTCGGGACGGGTGCGGGCTATCACGAGAAGAACCCGACCGGAAGTCAACTCTAAATATTTTTACCTCGTAGCAGTAGTAGTAGTAGTCCTGTAAACGTAGAACTATAATAGAATAGCCTTATTTGAGGAATAAGTTTTAGTATATAATAGAATATAGTTCAATTGCCATATACTCTGGGCGACGGGAATATACAGAAATACCAAAACTGGGCCAAACAGCCAGTCGGCCCAGTCCTGATGCGAAATGTATGCACAGATCCCAGGTATTACCGTACCTAATCACCTGACACCCCATTTTTTGATATACACCGAGTTTTCGATACTTTTCAAATTATTATAACTCTATTAATATAGCTTTAATTAAGATATTAATAGTTGAGATCAAAAGCCTAAAGTCAGAAAAAAAATAAATTATATAAAAATTACTAAAAAAATATAGTATAAGTAGATCTATACTATCTCGATATTATTGTGATGTCTAATATACTCAAGTAGAGTAATATAATAATTAATAAATTCTTAATAATAAATAGAGTAAAATATTTATAAAATAGATTAATAATTTAACTAATAAAGACCTTCTCTCTATACTTAAGATACTATAAAACTTTACTAAAAAAATTACTAAAAAAAATCAGGAAAACAGTAGTCAACTCAATTTTTAAAAATATATAATATTTAGCTTACTGTCTATTATATAACTGGAATTAACTTTTAATATAAGCAAACTGATTTAGTATATAAATAT